AGGAAGTCCTTAATATTTTTCAAAGATTAGCAAATGAATTGTACAGTTCATGCAACAGTAAACTCAGTCCTAATTAAAAGATTAGGAAACAGCAATAATCTTCTACTTGTTCTGAAATGATAAGAAACCAGCTTTCTAAAATTTAATAAATATGACTTGGGATACAAAATGTATCAGCTTTTAATAATTATAAAGAAACCAACTTTTAATGATGTTTGGGGTGAGAGGTGCCCAGGGTTGGGCTCCTGACGGAGGTGTTATAAGATGAGCTGAAGCTGTGTAACTTGGCCTCAGGTGACTTTCTGATTCAATACATCTTCCCTATACAACACTGAAACAAAGTAGCAACTGGAAGCTAAGCCATGGGGTCTTATTTAGGCCAAATATTCAGGCAGTTAGCACTGTAGCAAGGCAGGCAGACAGTCTCCATAGATGTCGTGATAGGGCAGCCCCCTCCCCTGGGGCAGGCTGAGGGACACACAGATCTGGACAGTTAACAAGACCAATAGTGGGAAATACTGAGTCCTAAAACACAGAGCTATCAGATTAGAATGGAATGGATATCTCTGTAAAAGAAAATGTGTTCAATGTGTTTTATTTTTGTTCATTAATTGTAACTACATAAGTAATACATAAATGCAAAAAAATATATAATACAAGAAAATTTTAACATTACAAATAAGATTAAAGTACTGTTCATTGACTAACATCCCCAAATGTAATACCTTTTTTGGAAGTAACCATCGTTGTCGATCTGAAGTGTATATCTTTCTCATGTTTTTTTCCCTCTGCAATTACATGTGTGTATCTACCATTAGACAATATATATTTATGTTGCAAGTTTTTAAATATTTATGGTGAATATACACATTGTTCCGAAACTTGCTTTAGTCACTTAAGAATATCTTGCTAAGCTTTTCACTGTCAGTGAATAGACATTTATTGATTGCTTATTACGTACCAGTCATTCTTCTAAGCACTTACATATCTTCTTATGCACTTAGTACTCAAAATGCAATTACTATATTATGTTATTATCATGTCAGTTTTGCAGTTGAAAATTCTGAGGGACAGAGAGTTTTGGTAAATTGCCCAATTTAGTGGCAGAGCCACTGTTCTGGATTCTTTTCAAGGAAGACTAACTCCCAGACTACCTCTGTGGTAACTACTTAATACCACCCCTATGCAATTCATAAACCTGCCTCTTAGTGCTGTATGTATGAACCCAAAGCCCCATGGGCCCACCCTTTATGAACTTGCAGTGACTGTAAATGATGTGCATCAAGTGTCTCATTATGTTCAGCATTTCAGTGATAATAGCACAAGCCAGGCAGCGTGATGGTGTAAGTAAGGTCTGGCTGCTCTCGAGGAGAGTAATGTGCATGAGAATGTGGAGCAGACCCCATTGTCATGCTGCTCCGTTCCTCTGCTCCCCTGCCGCCTGGGTCTGAGCCGTGGGCAGCATTCCATTTACGTCAAAAATAACGTCAATCCAGTGAAAAAAACCGAATGACTCACAGCATTACTTGAGGAAACTGATCTCAGTGTAATATGATATATGGCATCCTAATTTCACAGAACATTTTTCATAACAGCTGCTAAAGTCATACTCAAATCTATTACATTTCTTTTAAAGCATCCAATTCAAAGCAATAATGAGGCTATTCTTAAGATGCAGGTATACTGAGGTGGAGTCCCACCCACTTAAAACTGCTCTATCATCAGCTACTTTATATCCTTTTTGTATTTGTCTGGCTATGTGTATCGATTCACTTGAGTCTGCTCTTCTTTTATACGTCTAGTTGAATTTGAGTCAGGAAAAAAAAAGGTCTATTTCAGAGACTGGAGGGTCTAAGAAAGAACAGAAAAGAAAGGAGAAAGGAAAATGAAACTTTCCTCTGATTCTTAGGGACAGCAGAGCAACATGCCGTGGAAAGAAGGGGTAGAGGAAGGACCCAGAGTCTTGGGTTCACGGCAGTAGTCCTGTGCTTCTGATGAAGGTCTCTGTGAGAATGAACGATGGTGCGAGAACGTGGCCACACTGAGCCTTACATTGAGTAGCACGGAGCTTAGAATCATTACCCAGTGGGATTTCTCCTGACATCACCAGCACAGGACTGACAGATCAGTTTTTTTATGTAAGAATTTTATTTCTTGGATAAATATAAAGCCAAATAAAAATCCCTCAATTATTTTTTCTTCTGGTACTGTATACTTCTGGGAGTTGGCAAAGGGAGCTGCTGGCATATATGTTTGCTTGGAACATAAAGTAAGACCAAAAAGAGGACTCGAAGAAGGCAGATTACTTGTGACGTTTGCTTTCAGACTTGAGAATGGCCTTCTGGAAGGACAAGCTCCTGAGGCTGAACTCCATCCAGTCTCCTCCTGCACAGGCCAGCTGTGGGACACAGTTAGAAGAGAAGCTAGTAAACTTGCAGCCTCTGTTTTCCGACCTGAGAAAGAACGGTGGGCTAGAATCTTTACGGTTCTTTTGAGTTAGAATATTCTGATTCTTCTATGACATGATAGAAAAAGTGAGCTTCCAGAGGTTGAACAGATTACTCTGCTAGTGCCCAGCAGCTTAACTGCTATCTATACATACCTCCTCCTTTGCACACAGCTCCACTCACACTCCCGGGGGGTGGGGGTGACTTCTGGTGTCTCCCAGACAGTGTTCCTTCTGGTATAAGAGCTGTTGAAGGGAATGACCTCAGCTACATCCCACTTTTCCAGTTTTTTACTTTAAGACTTTTTTCAATGGGAATATAAGTCACTGATTTGTAACCCATGCATAACTACCATAAAGTGACCCTGAGCTCTTTGTTTTCAGATACTTAAAAACTGTTAGTCAGGTGCTGTGCATTGTTGGCCACTTGGATAATGGATTAGAGGCGCTGCTTTTCGGATTTTGGCTGACTTCATCCTTTAAAGACGTAGTTCCACTCGTGCACTTCAGTGGTTAGAAGCTAGTCAGTGGTAGCCGATATTAGAGCAGGCATACCAGATTGCCACTGGGGGGATGACTGACACCAGTACCGGGCACATTACTGAATAGCAATGGAGCTGAAGTCCCAGAATAAAGTCTCTGTATTCTGAGCCCTGCTGAGACATCGTTCTCCCACTCCCTTACTCTGACCCGCCCCTGGTGACAGAGTGGCTCCTGCAGTCCTGGGTGCTGAGTTCTCTGTTGGGTCCACAAGGGCCAGGGTTCTATCACAAACAGAGCCATATTTTCAAAAGTCAATGAGCTTCCTCCTTAGGTGTTTATGTCACTAAGTAACCAAAGCCATTATTAGACCAACCAAACAAGAAGTCATCTGAGAAACTTTTTTTCTGTAGTTTTCAATGTCTCCTATTTTATGCTCTCTTAACACACGTGTGGCAGATTGATGGTACTATGGCACACGTAGCCTGCTGGAGAAGTAAACTTCCTAGACTAGTCACGTGATAATGTGATTTTGCAACTGAAAACACAACCCCACTGGCATTAAAATCTTACTCTAATAACTTGGTCAACACTAACTAAATTGAAGTGCACGGAGTAGTAGCCTGGGAGTCAGAAAAAGCTAGAATAATCGTGGCAGTTTCTCAGCTGGCTGTGTAGATGCGGCAGGTTGCTCAAGTTCTCTGAGCTCAGCAGAAGAAACACACTTAGCACCTGTGTCTTGGAGCTCTTGTGAGGAACACAGGAGACGGTGTATGTGACAGTGCTGTGTGTCACGGAACGTGAAGTCCAAGTACAAAACAGATGCGCTGTAAAATGTGCATCTGTGATAGTATATAGTAATTATATATAATAATAATATAATATAGTGATATTATATAGTTTAATAATTATTATATTATTTCTTTCACCTGTTGGGTGTTTTCACATTTTATATGTAAACAAGAGCTTGCAAGGTTGATCCTCTCCCAATTGCCACAATTAATGAACTCTTCATGGGTAGCTGCAAGTTTAGATTTTAATGGAAGGAGTAAATTAAAGTGATCAAGGAGATTATTTTGTCTCAAATATAAATATAAATATAATAACATGAATAAATAATATTATCATTAATAAATGATAATATCAAAAATAAATATTTTTCTTTCAAATATAAAAAACAAAAAGTCAAAATCTTCTTTAAATAATGTCATTCAACAGATGTATCCCCGGGGGGCAAATGTGTTCATTAGAATCATATGCCAAGTGCTAAGTTCCACAGGTAAGCGAGATATAGCCTGAGGCGCTTGCTTGTCTAAGTTTTGTAATATAACATATCTGGAGTGCACCTTTAGAATAATACTGTGAAAAGGCATCTCCTGGGGTAATGCTACTAAAAGAAATTATTTTATTCTATTAATAGCAGTACTAATTATTTTTTTATAATTCAATTATTTGCTTTATGTTAATAATTTATATCCAGAAGTACTTAATTATTAATTTCTTGACCATTATGATTTCACTTAATGACTGCCACTCTGAAAAGGTAAAAGTAAAACCATAAAAGCCTATTAGTAAATTTTGCTCAAGAAAATTTACACCAATGGTCATCTTTTGTTACCTGTACTGAACCAGCCACCTGACTTTTGTAGGCTTCTGTCCTTGGTTTCTAAGATCTCCCAGCTTTGCTAGACCTTCCTCTTCTATATTTGTTCATCAAACACTCCCTCATGCATATACATACATACATACATACATACATACATACATATCAGTGATTTTTATAGTTATATGGTGGGAAGGTTTTGTGCTCTTTGGGTGTTAGATTTTTGTTGTTGCCTTGGTTATCTTTAGTGCCAGTTCTTTCCCCCTCAACCTCTGTGCATTTCTTCCAGATCTCCCTGGGAGGTTTTTTGCTGCTATTTCTGTTACCTGTAGGATCTTAGACAGGCTGTCTTGGCTGCCACCCATTTCTGGCCTGGTATCACTAAGATTTTGCTACCAGTGTCTGTGGTCTCTGCATCAATCCTCTCCAAAGAGTTCTCTCCCTAATTGTTTTGCAATGTTCTGTTCTTAGATTTGAATGAAGCAGTCCCAGAGACAGAGCGCCTGGATTCGAAAGCCCTGAAAACGCGAGCCCAGCTCTCCGTGAAGAACAGGCGCCAGAGGCCCTCTCGCACACGACTCTATGATAGTGTCAGTTCGACAGACGGGGAGGACAGTCTCGAGCGAAAGGTGAGCACCCTTGACTGTGTTCTGACTTACACTGTTAGGCTGTAACTTTGTTCTTACAGTCGATTGATTTTCTGCAACCAGATTCGATGTTGTAATTGGAAATAGCCGAAATAGTTCCCTTTTTTGTCTCCAAAATCCTTATTCAACTCGATAGATGCATTGTTGTAATTCAGATTCTTTCTGTACTCATTCAGTGAACTAACCAAGAGCATTATCCACATTGTCATATTTCATGATGGTGTTTTTGATATTCGGCAGTTGCTTTTACCTAGCAGGAAATAATGAATGTACAAGTAATTGTTTCCGTATGTCTTAGGTGTCTGTGGTAGTTACAATGGTAATATGGTGAGCTGTGAACTATGGAGTCTCATCCCAACAAACAAAATCGGTTTTCATGGGTATTTACTTAAAAAAAAAAAAGGTCGATCTGATTTCAAAGTAAGTATTACATGGAATTGATGCTCTTGTATCAGCAGCCATCAAACAGTTTCTATAATCACATGCGTATCACCAAATCACTTCTGCCCAAGGGTTTGAGAACTTCCTCCCCAGAGTCAGATTCTGGTGCTCCATCCCTCACCTCTGTGGCTGGCTGCGTGCCCTTCTTGGAGTCTGACCACATAGCCGAATTCCAAGGACCACTGCACTCAGAAAGGGAGCCTTCCTTCTCTGCTTGGGGAGGTACTTCACTCTCCTCTCCTGCGAAACCTGATCATGATGTGGAAGACTCTCCCTGCCACCATCAAGCCCCCACCAGGAAAATATCAGAAGAAAAAGGTACCGTTAATTTCTTTGTTCTCCTTCCGTTTTGTCTAACTTCACTAACATCTTAATTTGTGCAATATAAAAATGGCATTTTTTTCTAACAATCCTAAGTCCTTTGTCTTTTTACAGTTTATATTGTTTTTTCTTGTTTATGTTATGGGATAAAAGAACATCCCCCTTTCATTTATTTGTTTTTTTATCTTTTCCTACCTGGTTAGTAATTTTACCTCTTTAGTGCCCCACAAGTTTACTAATAAAGGAAATTCTTCAGGAGGACTTCTAGAGATTTTGTGGAATAGTAGCCAAGTTTTGGTAAACACTAAAGTAATCATAGAGAAAAATATATATACTTGAAGATAAAAGTGATACAGGCATTAACCTATTAATTTGGTTTTTACTTAGAAGAAATTTACACAATAATGATTTATATTGCAAAAGAATGTGATAGAAAGCTATGACAAAGGTAATGCAAGAGATTAGCCAATTAAATTTTTTAAAAGGCTCCTAGAGTTAATATCACAATTTCAAAGCAGTGTCCATAGATTTTGTCTTTTTAATAGTATCTTTTAATTTACAGAAGTCATGAATTCCTGTTTAAACAGGTTAAATGATGCAGAGAGGAATAGAGTAGGTTCATTCTCTTCCTGCCACAGCTGACATGCTCCTTTACAGTAACCGACAGGGTCAGACTGGGTCAGACAGAGATCCTTGAACAGTGTGGCACTGGTCCTCACACGGCCAAAATACACATACGAGTTTTGACTTCCCAAAGTCTTAGGTACAGGTGTCCCTCAGTATCCACAGGGTACTGGTCCCAGGACCCCTACGGATACTAAAATTCATGAATGCTCAATTCCTCATATAGGCTGGGGTAGAATAAAGCATACGGTTCGCCCTCCCCACCCATAGGTTTCTAGCCACAGGTCAAAAATACTACTTTTAATTCATGGTTGGTTGAATCCATTGATGCAAAACCCAAAGATACTGAGGGCTGACTGTATATTTATTGAAAAAAATCTGGGGATAAGTGGACCCATGCAGTTCAAACCCACGTTCTTCAAGCATCAACTGTATTATCTTTCACATCTGAAATGAATATATGTGTGTGTGTATGTGTGTACATACACGGAGTGTGTATCTATATATATATATATATATAGATATAGATATACACACACACACACACACACATGATGTAAAATAACCATATGAAATAAATACTTTGATGTGTATAATGGTGAAGTATCTGCAACTTTGAAACACGATTAAAAATTAATGGATTAACAGACGAGTAGAGAAATGGCTATATGCTAAAGAAAATGTAGCAAAATGGAAATTGTAGAAGTTAGTTGGTGGATATATGTTTGTTCACTGTAAAATTCATTTGTCATTTAAAAAAGTGAATAGCAAAAAAGGAATCTCATTTCTGCCCATACAGATCTAGAGATTTAGTATAACAGACATTTTGTGGAACTTGGCAACCTGACTCTAAATTTATAAGAAAGGAAAAAAGGACTAAAATACCTGAAACTCTTAAAGAAGACTGAGGTGGAAGGTTTTGGGGGATGCCTAGAATTATTTAGTTCTGTACATTTTTTATACAGAGGAATACAAATAAACTATGAGACAAAATTAAAGAGCTTAGAAGCAGATTGTATACACACACATTTTATGATAGCCACATGTGTAGATGGTGGAGAAAGAATAGTCTTATATAAATTGTTTGGGAAAATTGGTCATTCATATTTTTAAAAACTATAATAGCCATCCCCCTATCACATACCATGCAAAAATTTCATTGGAGGACGATTCCAGACTTAATTGGGTAATATAAAACTGTAAAACTTGAAAAACTAGCCCTGGGTGGTGTAGCTCAGTGGATTGAGCACTGGCCTGCCAACTAAAGGGTTGCTGGTTTGATTCCCAGTCAGTGCACATGCCTGGGTTGCAGGCCAAGTCCCCAGTAGGGGGCACGCTAGAGGCAACCACACATTGATGTTTCTCTACTTCTCTTTCTCCCTCCCTTCCCCTCTGTCCAAAAATAAATAAATAAGTAAATGAATAAATAAATTTAAAAAATCTTAAGACTTAAAGAAGTATATAAGAGAATATTTTGTGACTTTAGGATAGGGAAGGATTTCTTAGACAAGATGCAAAAAAATAGGAAAAGATTGATAAAGTCAAATGATACTAAAATTAGAAACTTCTATTTCTAAAAGACACAATAAAGAATCTTCCAAACTTGGAGAAGACATTTATTGCCTATGTAACTAACAAAGGATTAGTGTCCAGATTATGGAAATAACTCCCATAGAGCACTAAAAAGAAAAAGACAAATAATACAGGGGAAAATGTGTAATGTCCTGCACAGGCACTTCATAGAAAATGAAAACCAAATGTCTGTAATAATATTTATGAAAAGGTGTTCGGCCCCATTAGTAATAAGGAAAATATGAAATAAATCAAATGATATATCATTTTATACCCACCATATTGCCAAAAAATTAAAATCTGGTATTATCGAGTGCTGGCAAATATGTGAGATAACCACGAATCGAGCATTTGCTGGTGGAAGTGTAAATTGGTACAAGCTCTTTGGAAACCGTTTGGCATTACCTGGTAAAGCCGAACATGTGTCCACCCTCTGACCCAGCAAGTCCTCGCCTGTTCGTGTGGCCTAAAGAAATCCTGCACTTGTCTACTGGGAATCATGTACAAGAATATTCACAGCAGTCCTGTTGCATAATGGGAAAACCTGGGAACAACCAAAAACCAGTAATCACTAGAATAATCACCAGTAGAACAGATAAATTGCAGTACAGGGTCCGGCAGAAGTACAGCCTGCTTGAGTGTGGCTGGTAGGGTAAGAATATGGGTATGATAATTTATGTTTTAATTTGAGCATTTCACCTAAAATGTCATATGGTGTGTTTGAGTGTGATATTGTTATTTTACAGAATTACATGCTTATGATTTTGTAATTTAGAAAGGGGCGTTATTTGTGTCGGACCCTGTATCTTCCTATAATGAATCAGTGCAGGAGGGAAAATGAATAAACCACACAGAAACAAAACAGGGGTGAGTGAATCTCTGGAGCAAGACATTGAGAAGCAAATTACTGGTGAACAACGATGAATACATGTAATTCTATTGCTACAGAGTTAAACAAAACTAGCAGATTATTGAGAGGTACAAACAAAATGTTGAGGTTATTAATGGGAATGATAACGCTGATTACTTGGGGGAGTGTCAGGGAGTAGAAATAGGGAAGTGCATACTGGGAACTTCAGAGTATAAACTGCAGTGGGAGCGGGGTGACAAATGAAATGGGGGTTTGTTTTTTTTCTTCATACTCTGCAGCTATCTTACAAAGACTCTTGAGTTCAGTGGACAAGAAACATAAAAAGGACCACATATACAAAGTTAATCAATAGACTTTAATATACAAGTAGCTTCAAATAATTTTTTGAAAGTCAAAAATAGGCTAAGGAAATTGTCAATTCATTGAAGAGAAAATCTGCATTATGTATAAAATATAAAAAGATGATCAACCTAATGACAAAGAAATGATCATTTAAATTAAATACCCATCAAATCACCTATAAAGAATCCCAGCAGCCAGCACCAGCAGTGGTATGGCACATGCTGCTACACTGCAAGTGTGATTGTATATCGTTGCATTTTTGGAAAATCCGTATTAATTTATCTCTACCAGATCAAAAATCGTAGTCTTCCTACAAATACATGGTGAACATAGAAATACAGTTGGTTGTGGGAGCTCACTCTGCTTTGCAACTTTGGGTAAGCACCATAGGTTTATTTCCAGCATGTCCCCTGGTTTCCCTCCTGGAGCCTGTCAGTTGCTGGAATTGTCTTTCACAGACTGGTCCTGAGCACAGCTCTTCTAGAAGAAACTTTGAGATAAAAATTAAGTACAGTCACACCTTGGTACTCATCAGCTTCAGAACTCATCAAACTCTGTACTTGTCGCATTTTGACAAGAAAAAATAATGTTTCAGCACCCAGTGCTTGCTCCAGACTCCTCATACTTGCTAGAACTTGTCTAAGTCATGACGCCACCCCCCAAGAGAAAATGCATCATTTGACACTTGTCAGTTTCAGTACTTGTCATGAGTTCTGGAACAAATTAGGGATGAGTACAGAGGTACTGCTGTACTTAGGAAGGACAGTATACTAGTGGAAGCAAGAGAAAATATTTCTAAGCCCTCTAATTTGTCAATAGTGATTGTCAAGTTGATGAAGGACTTGCACTATGATTTTGGCCTATCTCCAAAAGAGTGAAAAGCTTCAAAAACTCTCAGTAATTAACGTAAATTGTGGATTATAATCATACTTTTTATAGAAATATACTTGTGCCAAGCCCTGTATCATCTCTTCAGAAGAGAAAATAAGTGTAGACCTTAATTGATCCATAAGAAGGCAAAACAGCAGAAGCATATACATATTTGGAGCTATAGGATAATACTTTGTGGTCCTCTGAGTTTATTGGGCATAACTAGGTCATTGAAAGAAATTACGTATAGTCAGAGAGTGCATCACTCACACATGAAATCTGGCCCAAATACTTTTAAAAGTGGCTAAATCGTATCTAGATTATTTCTCTCTGCCTTTTACTTCTAATATATTTATGAATCTTTGAAGTCAGCAGATGTCTCTTCTCAGGTCGGAGAAGTATTATCTGGGTTCGAATTGTGCTTTGCAGTCCATTAACTGTATGGTGCAGTAAAATGTGATTAGCAGTCATTAGCAGTAAAATCCATCCTTTCCCCCAGTGCCTCTCTCATTTGCTACTGCTGCTTCTTTGGGATGAAGTTCCCTGCTGTACTATACACAGGACCAAGAGAATAGGGAGTGAGGAGTTTCTTTCCTGAAGACCAAGTACTTGAGCTTTCCCACTTTTGATTTTTCTTGGTGGACTGTATTTCTGGGTAACCAGGAACAAGCAGTTAGTTGAGCTTTTATAAAGCACTGACTTGAGCCCTGGTCGGCTAGCTCAGTTGGTTAGTGTCATCCAGATTCGCCACAATTGCAGGCTTGATCCCCGGTCAGGGCACATACATGAATCAACCAATGAATGTATAAGTGAGTGAGACAACAAATCATTGTCAGTCTGTCTCTCTCTCCCCTCTTCCCCTGTCTCTCTAAAATCAAGAAATAAAAATTTAAATGAAAAAATACTGACTTTTTAGTCAGTTATTAGTTTGTTTGTTGGTTGTTAACTCTGACCAGATGAAAGCAGTACCTCATGTTCTTTTCTTCTCCTGAAAGATGTTTCCAGCCTTGAGTTTTCTATGCTTTCTATGTTCATGGACATCAATCTGTTCATTTATGTATTCATTCAGCAAATAGTTATTGAGCACCTACACTGTGTCAGGAATTGTGTTAAAGGCTGGATGTACATCTGTAATCCCGTACTTTCCCTGAAGGCCTATGCAGACAAGAGTCAGTGTCTGTCTGTTTCTTGCTCGCTCTCTCTCCTTTATTGCTTGTTTGTTTTGTGGTACCTTTTGTCTCTCTGACGCCCCACCACCACCACCACCACCATCATCAACTGGGAAGGCCTGTCCTGCTTGCTTTCCACGTTCAGGCTCTGTTGCACCTCGAACCGAAAGATGTCAAGGAGCCAACTGACTCTCAGAAAGTAGCCTCTTACCAGTCAGTGCCGAGAGCCAAGAGTTTAGACCTTAGTATTCTGAGTCCAGAAACTCAGTAATTTACCCAGATTTAATCAAGTTCAGAGGGACCGATTCATGACGCTCAAACCTAGAAAAAACTAATTTGTAAACCAGAATACAATTTTCTGATTTACTTTGGGAGCTACAGCTGACATAACAACCAACATCATCCATATGTTTTGTTCTCTCCTGGTTTTTATATTCAGAAATCAGCAAGCTTACAATTAAAGTTAACTGGACGTGTATATGGAGTGTGCTCATTAGACTGGGCTGACAGATGACTGCAATGAAGCACCACCATTGGTAGAGCTCTTTTGTGTCCCTCAGGGACTCTCCCTACCCAGTTCCCAAAATGGAACTCAGTATCATTGAAACGTTGGGGAAATTTCACGCTTCCAATTGCTTGACATTTCAGGGCATGATACAGTATAGATTCACAAAGTAGGATCTAATTATCTTCAAAATCTAATTTGGAGAAGAGCATTCTGTAAAATCCTTGATTTCCTTGCTGTCTGAGACTAATTCACTGTGCAGACCTAGACAGCTCGGAGGTAAAGTATGTTAATCTGATTTTCTTCTGTGTGTGAGTGTTTATACATGTGGTTCTTAGAGCTCATTGGCTCATCAATAAATAAACCAGAATGGGGTTTAGTGATTCTCATAAACACAGACTAGACCTCATCTTTACATTCTTACCTAACGCGCCACTCTAGGAAATTTCTGCAAGTTGAAATTTCTAACAAGTTAGTTGGAGCCCCATCCATGCACTGAAAGGGCCGTGAGTTCGATTACTAGTCAGACCACGCACCTAGGTGGCAGGTTCGATCCCCAGTCGGGGCAGGTACAGGGGACAACTGATCGATGTTTCTCTCTCACATTGATGCCTGTCTGTCTGCCTGCCTGCCTATCTCTCTCTCTCTCTCTACCCCCTCCCTCCCTTCCTCTATCTAAAAACTTAATAAACATATCTTTGGGTGAGGATTAAAAAAAAAAAGAAGGAAAAGAAAATGAGGACCAGGTCACCAGACTTCTAATTTCTCACAAAGGTAGTGCTTGAGAAGTTTCAAAAAGCCTAATAGAGCTTTTACATAAAGCTACATAAACGAACACAAATGTCACATGTTCTTTTTCTGAAATCATAACAGTCTAGTGTTGGTTATTAGGCAGACTAGAAGTTCAGATGTCCATTAGTGTGTGCTCGACTGATTTAGAATGGGAAAGTGCATTATTATTTGATCTTGCCTCTGACTTCAGCATTTTGAAAGCATTCGTGTAAGTGTTCCTTGGAACACACTTTGGCGAATGTGTGAGATAACCATGTGAGGTTGCCTAGCAGCGGGCTCTGCGATGGGCAGAACCAGGCTTTTAGTCCCCAGATGTCCAGTGACTGCAACACTAAGAGGCTGCAGTGTTCCCATGCACATTTTCTCACCTGGCCCTCTCATCACTCGTTAAACATCGCCCAGCTACCACTCATTCAGAAAATAATTAGGCAGTCTACTTCACAACTTTGCACAGTCCTAGCCATTTAGAGTTTCTTTAGGATTGATCTGGAAGAATCCAGCACTTTCTTTTCTTTGGCTTCTCTTAACGTAATTGAAATTCTGCTTTTTTTTTTTTTACGTCCCTTAGCAAAATCACCTCAGCAGGTATTTGTGCCATGTCTGTGGATTTTCTTTATGTGTCTGTATCACATCTGTGGCTACTGAATTCATTCTCCAAAGAGTAATGACGCAAATACTCATGATCAATATTTGAGGTCAGAAGTGGATTTTGATGTGGATGTATTTCTGACTCTTGTATTTTATTTTATTTCATTATTATCCTCGCCTAAGGACATGCTTGTTGATTTTAGAGAGGGGAAGGGAGGGAGGGAGAGATGGAGAGAAACACCGATGTAAGAGAGAAATATTGTCAGTTGCCTCTGGCACACGCCCCAATCGGGGACCAAACCCACAACCTAGGTATGTGCCCTGACTGAGAATCAAACTCGCGACCTTTCACTTTGTGGGACAACTCCCAACCAACTGAGCCACACTGGCCAGTGCATTTCAAGGAATTATTGTCATCTAAGTATCACTAACTAAAAATATGCAAAGCTCATTGTGAAAAATCCCCAGTGTTTGTCAATATCCTTTGCTTCTTTAGAGCTTTGGATATAGACTCCTAAAGGAGAACTCTGTGTGTGTACTTCATGTTTTGTAAGTATGTGTGTTAAGAAATTTCTCCTGAAGTAAATAATATTATAAGCAAAATTAACCTGTGTGGTTAACTGAACACTTTCTTAAGAGGACTGCGCTCTCTGTACTCCACCCCAGGAAGTTGCTGGAGGGTGTTTTTAATTTTAAAGAGATAGAGACAGACACCAATAGATAATTAGGAAGGAGTAATTTCACAGTCTAATATGCATCAAAATTAAACGTCCTTTGCTAATCATCTCAGATCTAACTGGATATGCTGACAGGTAATACCAAACAGCATCCTTTGCTAAATAGTTCCAGGTAGAGCCTTAGGAGTTACCTGCCTAGTCCAAGGTGGAATAAGTTGCAGCAGTAGAATCTAGCTCCTACATTTGACATTGAACTCCACTTGCAAAGCCTCTCCACAGATTGTTTTTTGGCATTAGTTCAAGTGTCCCCATTTCCAGCAGCTGCTGCCATTCAGAAAGCCAGCAAAACTCAAAGAGGCAAAGATCACTCAGCTCCAAACACTGAGGAGCATTTGGCGTCCCCAGCATCACAGGAGGCCGGCCAAGTCACGCTCCAACCCAACTTTAAAGAGACCTTTCAAAGATATCAGTGTCTTAGAGCTGAGCTCCTGCTTAAGAAAGTCTTCCCCACATTCTGCCCTCCTTTGTCCCAGGATCGCCGCAGGCAGGCCCTCAGCCAGGGAGAGCCCAGAAGGGAAAGCTCTGACTTGCACTTTCTCCCTAAACCTCTCAGACTCTCGGGGCGACTGGGTTCCTATCAGGAGGCACAGGAACCAAAGGAAAGTCATGTTGGCCCCTGCTTTTGGTGTAAAGGGTGATTAGATAGTGTTTATTCTTCTTACTTTGTTCATTCCAATATATGTTTGAAGCCAGCACTCTTTGTGATGTGTATCAGGCCTCCGTCCAACAGGACCACCCCTGACTTAACTGAGAGTTTCCCCACATAGGTCTGTTTCCTGTAGCTTAAAAAAAAAGGCATCCATCAGTTTCTTTTACAGTTAGACATTGAGATAAAGTCCTTCAGAGATGAAGCACTGACTTTTGATTCATAGCTTTAAAAATAATAATAGTCGGTCTTTTTTTTACATACGTGTGTGTTCTAGACGGTGCCAAAGGCCCCAAATCACTAAGGGCATCCAGTTCGTTGGTGGTGCAAGGAGGAAAGATTAAGCGGAAGTTTGTGGATCTGGGGTAAGCACCTTAGAACATAAAATGTAAAGCCCTCTGTAAAAGAAGGATTAAAGGAGAAAATGTCAGCTTTCCTTTTCTGACCATGTGCTGTCATTATAGGGCGCCACTGCGAAGGAACTCCAGCAAGGGAAAGAAATGGAAAGAAAAAGAGGCCAGCAGGTTTTCTCCGGGTAGCAGGTACGGGTGAGTGATTAAGAACACAGATTTTTCTCTGTATCTGAACTTTCTGGCCTCCTTCCATTGCTAACCAAAATCAGTGGTCAGTATCTTTGATATACCTAGAGGTGAGGTGAAAGAAAAATTTCACAATTTCTGTTTGTCTTACTCCAATTAAAACCTACCCTGGGCCCTGGGTATATCCATTGGCTTCATTGCAGAATTATGGTCTCATGAACAGTTTCACCAAATACTCATCTAAATACAGCATAATTCTATCTATGTGATATTAAGGACCCGTTGTCTTTTAAGACTGTTCAGTCCACATGCACGTAAGGACTGCCGTCTCCTGCTGGACTCGGCTGTTAGTTTGTAGGCCTGATCACCTGTGCTCACTGCTCAGTAAAGATTGTCCTTTAGAGAAGTGGGCTTGGTGCAGTGTGTTGGTCCCAAGTTCGTGCTGAGGTAACTTCATTTAAACTTAGGTTTGTGTAGGGAGACAGTAAAGCACAGAGCTCGGAAGCTCGACCGCCTGGGTCCGAGTCAGAGCCCTCAGCTTCCGAATCTCGGACCAGTTATTTCACCTCTGTGTCTCCATGTTCTCATGTGTGAAATGGGGGCAATGACAGTATCTACCTTAAACACTAGTGTAAGTGTTGAACGAGTTTTCATGTAAAACATTTAAAATGTTGCCTGGCACATAAGAGGTATTCAAAAATAGTAATAAAGACAACAATTTGCAGGTTATGGAGTTTTAGATTTATTGTTTCATTCGCTCCTTACAATAAGATCAGGAGGGCTGATGGTAATACCATACTTTACTGATGAAATACTTCACCTTTATATAATTTAATTGATTGCCCCAGGATTATGCAACAGCCAATTAATTCCCAATTAACCAGGGCTGGTGCCTCCTGTCTAGATGCCTTTCTGACACCCGATGACGTCTTCAGGTCCCTATGCATTTAATGCTTTTTTAAAAGAATTTCAACTATAGTTTATACTGAGTATTATTTTGTATTAGTTCCAGGTGTACAGCATAGTGGTTAGACAATCATTTACTTCACAAAGTGGTCCCCTGATATTTCAAGTATCCACCTGGCACCACACATACATAGTCACAATATTACTGACTATATTCTCTGTGCTGTACTTTACATCCTGGTGACTCTTTTGTAACTACCGATTTTTACTTCTTAATCCCTTTACCTTTGCAACTCAGCACCCCCAGCCCTCCCTCTGAAACTAACAGTCTGTTCTCTGTATCTATGGATCTGTTTCTATTATGTGTATTCTTTTATTTTGCTCCTTAGGTCCTACATGTGAGTTTTTGTCTATCTCTGTCTGACTTATTTCTGTTTCTCTTTAAAATTTGGGAATCATCTCAAAAGCAAAGACTAAGAAAGATACAAACAAAATGCTAAGAATAGAGGACTGTAAAATTATTTGGGAACCACTTATCCATTTCATAGGTGGTCCTCTGCTGTTTCCTATTTTATTTTTCTCTTTTCTGGCATACCACACAGCGAGAAATTATACCTTCTCCCTGGGATTACAGAAGAATGGGGTGGGGGATGAGAAGAGAGAATCCCAAATTAATTATTTTTGTTAGTGTGGGTTTTTGTTATGCTGTACAGTCGAGAAAGGGTAGAAAGCTCTGTGTGTATTGAGGACAACAATCGCAGAAAAAAAAATAATATTAAGACCATAATGCAACTCAAAAGAGATTTAACTTTGTGTGGTTTTGGAGTGAGAAATATAAAGCAGTCTACTTTTGTGCCTTAAAGTTAAGAATAGAAAACTATCAAATATATAAGGGGAAGAAAAGAAACAAATAATGAAACTTTGAAGAGAGAGAGATGCCCAGGTCCACAGTGGAAGAAAACTCGGACACCCCTGAATGGACCTCGTCTTCCCTTTCACCCCTGGGCCTCTGAGACAGTCCCTCTAACCTTCAAGGCTGAAAGGGACGCAAGCACAGGCATTCAGCAGGCGTGAGAACATTTGACCGAGTGTCATCAGAGTAGGCAGAGAGTTTGACTGCCTTGTATAAATTCCAGATGAAAATCAAGCAAACCTTGGTTCTGTTGGTGAGCGCTCCCCTGACTCTAGGCAACATCACGGGTGGTCAGTGGCGGGCTGTCCCCCGTGCGCTGCCTCCCAGTAGCTAATGCCAGCTTTTGAACCGGCCAGGTTTCTCGCTGGAAAATTTTCGGGTGGTTACTGGAAAATTTAGAAATAGAATAGGAAAGAAGAGAGACTTTTCTGTTTGAAGAAAATAATTTTTTGAGCTCTCACAGTAATTTGGTTAACACTGATCAAATCTAATGTCAGCCTTTGTTGTTCCGTGTGGACTGATCATGGGTCCAGTACCTCGGGAAACGTACTCCAGGAAGAACAGCCACTGGCAGGTGGCGGCGTGGTGCCGCTGAGCTGGTTCCGCAGGGTCCCTGAAGGCAGCCGGCTAAAGGGACCAGTAGCCACAAGGCCCCACTGCCACTGTGGAGAACTGGCAATAAATTCACTGCCCTGTGAGGCTTTCTCCAAAAAAGTACAGTCTGATTCACAGATTGAGTTTGTAATCTTATCTCCTAGGCATTTCTTCCCGTTGTTATAAGGTGGTAAAAATCTGATAAAGTCACTCCATTATAATGTGAGGCAATTCGACATTAAAAGGGTGAGGCATTTGCTAAATTTGGTCTTGGTTTTAGTTTTTTTCTTCCCAAAAGAGTAAAGAATTTACCTCATTGTATTCCTTGTGGAGATATAATGACTCAAATATATGACTAACATGAAACAAATAGATGACATTGAAATAATAAACAAACGAACTCCACAGAGAAATATTGTTGGTTCTATCCTTTTCAAATACGTGCTCGGTGAACATTCTGATTTAAATAGGTAACATAGCAGAGAACAAAAGTAGGAGACATTTAGTTGTTCAAGCTTCTTCACCCCCTCAAGGACATATCAAAGAGTAAAATAAAACACCAGTTGCAGTTCTAGAATAGCGGCCACTGAGGTCAGCGCACTGTCAGCCTTGGGGCTCTGCGGGTGAAGCTCGCAACTCAGGCCCTGCACGGAGGCCCTGCAGCGGATCTGAGTGTTTCGGATCAGGGCAGAGGGCAGCGGTGAGGAAGTGACGGGGCAGGGTGCTGGCACTTCTTTGGGCAAGCGAACCGTCACTTACCTGAAGTGTGAACAGTGGCAAAAACCCTGAGCTGAGACCCAAGTATTCACCCTGACTTTGCCATAGGTAAGTCTCAGAATTCCCTAGACCTTGGTTTCCTACCAAAAAAATGAGTGAGGGGGACTCAGAGAGCCTGGTCTCCGACCCCCATCCATCTCCATCTGCACTCTCTGGTGTGCAGCCCATAGTCAGACGGGCCACTGAGCGTGGGAGATGGGGCGTGTTTCCATGGACATGTGTTGTTGGGGGAGATGCGTGCTGGATTTCAAAGACAGTTGAAAAAAAGAATGGTAACTGTCTTACTAATAATTTTAATAATTTTATACTGATTACATGTTGAAATAACATTTTGAATATTTTGGGTTAAATAAAATCTATTACAAAAATTAATTTAACCTTACATTTTTTTCAGGTGGTAACTGGAAAATTTTAATTTGTATAATGTGGTTCATACTCTGTCTCTGCTGGGCAGTGTTGATCCATATGATTCTGTGAAAAACAAATACTCTTCGGATTTCTAACAAATACTCTTTCCATCTATAAATTAGCATATATTCATTGGTTTATTCTTTTTTATCTAAATGTGCATCCCTTTTTCAAATATGATCTGTTTATATACAAAAAGTACATATGTTACAATATAATTTATTTTAAAAGAAATTTGACAGGGAAAACAAGAGAAAGCAAAAAGTAAGGTTGGTACCTAAAATAGAACATCTTAAAGGATACCTTCATAGTGAACCTAACAATGGCCTTCATTCAGTAAAAGCCAAGGGCGTGATGTCAGCGTAGGGAGGAGCCTGCATTCACATCCCAGCTGTGCCACTCACATCTCGGGCAAGGTACTCACCCTCCGTGCCTCTGTTTCCTCGTCTGTAAGACAGAAACATGTATTTCACATGCCTGTTCAGGTCATTGGGAAGATTGAGAGAGTCACATTTAAGCACATTTAAATTTTTTAATATCAATGGCAACCCTTATCCTGTTGAAAGCAATTCTGATCACAGGGATATAAAACAAAGTATTATCCCGATGTATTTTGCTGGCTGTCGTGTTCAATCCAAGAATGACTTTGGTAATATCTTGAAGAATGAATGAACTCTGGATTATAGTTCAGACAACCCTTCATAGATGTTTCTCTCAAAGAAGCCTTAGCTAAATCATGGCATTACAGTGGGTTTGAGACCATCCCTGTGGCAGGGCCCTGGCAGTACTCTGCCCTACTGCCGAGCGCTGGGGGAGTGGGGGGGGGGCGGGGGGAAGAGCCTCTGCCCCTGAGCTGGCAACACCCATTCAGAAGAGATGAGGAGTGGGCTGAGCACATGTGCAAGAAGAGAAAACACCTCACCTCTGCCCACATCTGGCCATCTGGCCAGCAGGGTACCCAGAGAGGAGCCAGAATTGTCCTTTAAAAAAAGTTAAAAAACAAAAAACAAAATGCAATTATAAACGGCCCATGGAAAATGACCATGATAGAAAGGCAAAGGCAGATTAATTGGAGCCTGGAAAGTCTGAGAGCAAATGTTCCCAAGCCCCTGTTGGCCGTGCAAGGTGGTGACAGGAGCTCGGTGCTGCACCAGTGGAGAGCTCAACTTTGGCCACATGACTTCTGTGGGTTCTGCCCTTCACCCCATATTCTTCCTCTCAAAGGCACCAGTGTTCTTACAAAGAGGATTACTGGGGTTACAAATTAAGAGTAATTTATTGAAGTCTCCGGTTTGAAAACTTAGCCTTTCCTCTTGAGTTTCAGTTCAATTTGTCATTTTGTTTATGCATTTTTAATTTTTATATAGAATAAAAGCATTTGCTTTCACGGAGACCTCTGAATAATATGAGT